CTCTCTTACACACACTCTCTCTCTTTCGTTATGCTGGTCTGAAGCTCATGTATTATTTGGTCCGTGTTGCAGAGTGGAGGAAGAATCCCTGCAGTAAGTCTTTGTAGGGAGAAAGTAAAAATCTCTACAGGTTCGGGAACTGGTTTCTTGCATCATGTGTGTTTTATTGACACGGGAAACGTGGCACTTGTGTAATACATTCACACACTGTGACATAAGTGACATCATTGTGACATCATGTTGGTTATTGTATGTGACATGTATACTGGATGAGTTGCTCATCCAAAGAGACATAGATCTGCTGTGGGCCAGAAAGAAAGAGCAGATTTAGTACATTTGTCCGCGGGAAGGACAGAAAAGTCAAATTAAAATAGAAACAGAGTCAGAGTGAAAATGATTTGGCATCCCTCATTTCTCTCTAAGCACTAGTGTTTCCTAAATATGAAGACTTTCCTCAGAAATCTCATTACTCTTAGGGTGACAATGTTGCCTCATTTCTGCCCTTTCGGCTTCTTTTGTGATTTTCTCTTTGGCTCTACTGAAGATGAGCCTGTTTGTTTGCCATGATTAATTCCTTTTACCAACTATCACAAGAATATAAAAGATTTTCAGCTCAAAATACATCTGGCATCAGATTTGTACTGAAGGGCTTTAGAATATATTTGTGGTCCCATTAATCCTGTTGTCTTGGCATTGATGCATACTGATTCATGGTTCTGTCTCAAAATTAATACTGTAATCACCTATTGATTTTTCATCACTACATAGCATCTTCTAGGAGGATTAGTGAATGTTTTAACTGTCATAACAAGCTTAAAAAAAGGTGAACTAAATTATTCAGCAGCCATTGATTTTGATATATTCATGGTACAAAATTATGTACCAGGTATTAAAAAGTGTTTGGTTAAATATGTTTTTAAAAACATATACAGTAAACTGTTTATAATGTTAATAATACAATTTCAAAAAACACTTCATGAGTGGCAGCCAACGGCAAAAACAAAACAGAATAATTGATAGCCAAAATAATAGTGCTTTGACATTTTCATATGGACAGATTCCTGTTGTTAAAATTTGCATGTATATTGGACAGACCTAATATATGTGTATGAATGGTATTATCAAAGAAGCAAATGACAGTTACCTGAAGATGACCGCAGCACATCAGCTGAGCTAAGATACATTTCCACAGGAGGACAGGGAATCGTTCCACACCCATTCCCCCACTGTGACCCCTCTTCCCTGGGCAGAGAGGCTCCTCTGAGCCCCCTGCCTGGGTCGCATCTTCAGACAGAAAGAGAGATGAGAGTGAGAGGTGATAGAAACTATCTGACATGACAGCACCCTTACACACTCACAGCAGGAGTGGCGTCTGACAGTGTCAGCTAATGAGACCATTAGCGAGCTGTCAAGTTCGTTAAGCAACAATTAAAGAAACCATGTGATGGGTTTTGCATGTATTGAACTTTTAATGTTGCTGTTTTTTATACCTATAATTGAACACGCTGTATGTACACCATTGCCCATAAAGTTGGAATAATTTTGTATTCAGACACATTTACTCTTTTTATTCCTATTTATACACATCAGTAATCACCTTTGATTACATACTGAGTCCCAGTTACCCAGGTGAAACAAATTCAATTCAAACAATTGTTTGGCACTATAAAAGGCAAGAAATTTGCTGTGTTGTTCTTTTCCTGCTTAAAGTATGTATGCAGTAAGTCCACGTTTTCAGAATTAGCTGTATAATTTTCAACCAAATTTGACACACAAGTTCTCTAGGCTATGCCTCGTCTGACGCAACTGGCAATACGCCAAAGAGTGCTTGCACTCTGACAGTACGGACACAAACGAGCCAACATTGCTGATTTTCTTGGAATATCACAGAGTGTGGTCTGTAAAATCCTCAAACATCATCGAGAGGAGGGTCATTTGAGGCCATGAAAATCTCCAGGACGACCACGACTAACTACCAGACGAGATGATCGGCAACTGCTTAATCTGTGCTGTAGAAATCGGAAAATGCCAGCAAGCCGCCTTCGTCGTTTGTGGAGAAGACACCATGGAATCAACGTTTCCCGCCAAACTGTAATTCAAAGATTGCTTCAGCATGGTTACTGAGCAAGACGAATGACCAAGTGTCCATGCCCAACTGTTCAACAGAGTTGCTCGACTTCGCTTAGCTAGGGAGCACAGAAGATTAGAGCTTGGGCACTGGTGGCATGTTGTCTTTATTGATGAGAGCCGCTTAGGCTGCAAGACAACAATGCAGGAGCACATAGGGCAGCTGTAGTGAGAGAATTTCTTGATGCAGAGGGGGTGCAGCAGATGCCATGGCCTGCTTGCTCCCCTGATATGAACCCTATCAAGCATGCCTGGGATGCCTTAGGCCGAGCCCTTAATGAGAGGGACAATATTCCTCAGTCTAATTAGGAATTAGCCCGGGATCTGACCGAAGTGTGGGATTCCCTGCCCATTGACGGCATCAACAAGCTTGTGGACAGTATGTCACGACGTCTTAACACATTGATCAGTGTCAGGGGTGGCAATACTTAATATTAGTGACTGAGTGACAATTGAAAGTAATATTGTACATTCTTATGCATGAAATACCCTCAAATATGTGTTTCCTGTTAAATTGATCAAAGATTGAAAAATTTAAACAAAGCCCATAGTCCTATTTATTGTTCAATACCCCCGATTTTGTTAAAGCCTAAATACACAGTTTGCAATGGTTAATTGTGATTTAATTTTAACTGTGATATGTTTGGAAGAGATTGATCGATAAAAATTTGAGAAGATATACACTTTATCGATCAAGAATAAATCACATTGTCACAATCATTTCATGAGAAGAGGTAAAAAATATTTTATTCCAACTTTATGGGCAACAGTGTATAAAGAGTAAGGAAAGTCTGCATATGGAGGAGGTGGGGTAGATGGATGGCACAAACAGACACAGAAACCTAGGAGACCCTTGTACCTGTCCTGTTTGGAACCAAAACTCAATTTTACATAACTGAAATTAGGTAAGGTACGTATCCTTAAAATCTTTTTCGAAGCGACACAGTTTTTGTATCTAAATTATCAATCATTAACCATACCAGCTTTATTTTGAAACTCTGCTTGGATGTTTCATATTTATTCATCCTAACTTGAATGTTGAACCCTGCAAGTCCAGAAATAATGGCAATGGGCACCTACACAGCATCAGTTAAAAACTTTAAAAAGGTGGAGAGCTACTTTTTGAGAAGTTGGGAGTGAGATTGTGTTGATCCATGTACACATATGTCATTCCTTTCTTGCTCAAAAAATGTTGTGCACCCAAACTGAAGTCGGATTTGTTTCAGAAAAAAATTTAAGGACTCATCACAATCTTTTAACCAATTGGTAAAGAATAAAAAAAAAGTACATAATACATGAAAACTGATGAAACAGCTGCCAGGCTTTCACCAGCTTTTGTGCATTAATATATCCTGAATATGGGGCGGTTGGGGCTCAGGGGTAGAGCAGGTTGTCCACTAATCGGAAGGTTGTTGGTTCGATCCCCAACTCCTCACGCTGCATGTTGAAGAATCCTTGAGCAAGCTACTGAACCCCAAATTGCTCCCAATACTGTGTCATCGGTGTGTGAATGTGAATCAATGAATTAGTTTCTGTTCGATGGACTTTGCCATCACTGTGTATATGGGTGTGAAAAGGCGAATGTGGCATGTAGTGTACAGCACTTTGAGTGGTCTGAAGACTAGAAGGGCGCTATACAAGTACAGGTCTATTCACCATTTACCGTTTACCATGTGAACTGGGGAGATGTGATAAGGCTTATAGCATACAGCTGGTTTCATAGGCACTCACACACTTGTATATTCGTATCCTCCTGGATTTTATGGTTTATTTTGCCTGCTCAGTATGTGTGTCCCTTCCCAGAGGTTGTCTAAATAAAGGGAGGGAGAATAGTTTGCCAGTTGTCTGTGGTAATGCACAAAGTTGAACACACAGCCAAAATTTCTGAGCACACCCTCTTGGCCAATATTGTATCTGTTCTTGTCCGTTTAGTTTAGTAAAAGCTTGATGTGTGGGTGCTACAGATTTCCTCAGCTCATGCAGTAGAGATGCTTATGGAAAGCTAAACAGAACTGTTAGGCAACAGTGTTGATCAATTGCATGTATTCTATTACAGGGCTATTCCAGTCACTGCACTTCCACAAAGGTTGGGGAAAATTCCAATGAGAATAAAATCCCAGTGTGTAAATGTGAGACGTTCACATGTCTGCATCTTCACAATTAGAAACAAGGAAATGAGTTTGGTGACGTATGTCTCAACAAATTTTTTGTTTGTGCAGAATTCATGAGGATTGGTAGAATTTGCAATAATTGTTGCTCTTGCAGCTTCCTGGAGGGAGTGATTATCCGATTGCAGATAAAAGAAATTCATTTGAAAACGTGCTACTTTATTTCTTCTCCAGCCACCTCTCTGTAGTCACCATTCAGGTTCACCCACAGCATCTGAAATGCCACAAGTAAAAGTGGAATTTTTTTTTTTACTACTTAAGTTTACTTACTATTTAAGTAAAAGTAGCAACACCACATTGTAAAAATACTCCAAGTTACAAGTAAAAGTACAACAATATTTGCATTAAAATATACTTAAATTACCGAAAGTAAAAGTGCAAAATGGCCCATTTCAAAATAATGTATATTATATCATTGGATTATAATTACTGATGCATTATTGTGTTTATCATTTCAATGTTACAGCTGGTGAAAGTGAAGCTATTTTTGCTTACTTTATTCTGCTGGGTAGCTTAGCTTAACCGAACCATCTGTTTGAACCATGAT